GTCCGAGAGCTTCTCCACGGCCATCTGGTCCTCGTTGTGCAGCCAGCGGAAGGCCTTCTCATCCAGGTGTACCTGCTCCAGGTCACTGGCCTGGGCTGACTTGGCTGAGAGTGTGGGCACCAGCTTGCTGGTGTCCTTGAGCAGCTCGCCCAGCAGCTTTGGGGAGATGGTGAGGAAGTCACAGCCCGCCAGCGCCTTGATCTCGCCGGTGTTGCGGAAGGAGGCGCCCATCACAATGGTCTTGTAGCCAAACTTCTTGTAGTAGTTGTAGATCTTAGTGACACTCTGCACCCCCGGGTCCTCCAGGGGCTCGAAGGTCTTCTTGTCAGTGTTTGCCACATGCCAGTCGAGGATTCAGCCCACGAAGGGGGAGATGAGCGTCACCCCTGCCTCGCCACAGGCCACGGCCTGGGCGAAGGAGAAGAGCAGTGTCATGTTGCAGTGCACGCCATGCTGTTCCTCCAGCTCCTTCCCAGCCTGGATTCCTTCCCACGTGGAGGAAAGCTTGATGAGGATCCGGTCCTTGCTGATGCCGGCTTCCTTATAGAGCTCGATGAGGTGCCGGGCACGAGCCATCATGGCGTCCTTGTCGAAGGAGAGTCTGGCATCCACTTCCGTGGACACACACCCTGGAATTTTCTTTAGGATCTCTGCTCCAAACAACACAAACAGCTTGTCGATGGCATTTGTTACCTGTTCCTCTTGGGACCCTCCCAGCTTCTTCCCATAGGCCATGGCTTCCTCCACCAGGTCCTGGTAGGTGGGCATCTGAGCTGCGGCGAGGATCAGGGAGGGGTTTGTACTCCTCAATGGCATTGAAGTCGCCCGTGTCGGCCACCACAGTGGTGAACTGCTTGAGCTGGTCCAGCACGGACTCCATCCTCTGGCGCTTCACCGGCGAGACGGACATGGCGAGACTTACGGCGGCAGGACCAAGAAGAAGGGCTGTTAATTTTTACAAAAGCACTGCCATATCTTTCTCTCTTAGACCCACTGAAAAGTTTGAACTGATCTTTTAGTTAACAGCCAAACACTTTGACTACTGTCAGGGCAGGGCTTCCATCACATCAGGGCTCTCATACAAAAGATACTAAAAAATCAAGACAAGTCGCCTGCAATTCATAGTAACCCTATGTACACTAGCTCTGAAGCCTGCCCTGTCCTGAGCCAGTCTCAATGACTCTGACACACCTACCCCATTGCCCTCATTACTGTATCAATCCTTCTCATCCGGAGTCTTCCCCTCCTGCACTGTCCCTCCATTCTTCCAAACATGATTTCCTCCAAGGACCAGTGAGTATCTCCTGGCCATGTGCCCAAAGTGTGTGAGATGGAGCTTCACAATTCTAGTCTCCAAGGAAAACTTGATTTTACCCTCTCCCAGAAAAACTTGGGTTTTTTTCTTGGCTCTTCTCCAGCTACACTTTACAACAAATAATGTGATGTATAACCCACGACACATAAACAAGGGTTCACAGAACTATTACCCCTAACTTTCTGACACCTCCTTCACTTTCTTCCCTTGCCAATTCATCCATCTGCCTCTTAACTAATCATTGGTAAGCCTATGACTTCTTGTTATATGTAACATATGCATGTTATACACAATGTAACATATAAATGTTAAACACAACAACATGACCTCCTCATAGCTGAATCTTCCAGTGGGTTTTCAGAGACAGTTAATTTCACGGAAGGAGACTGTTCATCTTTATCCCAAAGAGCAGCTGGTGGCCTCGAACCACATGTCTTCAGGATTGCAGCACAGCTTCTTGTCTCTAGGCCACCAAAGCTCCCAAGGGTTATGACTACACATACTAAATAGGTCACTAATATGCTGCCAGGAGGGACGGGTCCTTGGAGAGGGACATCATGCTTGGGAGGGTGGAGGGACAGCGCAGGAGGGGAAGACCCTCTATGAGATGGATTGATTCGGTGACTGGGGTAATCGGGATGGGTGTGTCAGAGGCGGTGAGGTTGGCGCAGGATAGAGCAGGGTTTAGAGCTGTTGTGCATAGGGTCGCTATGAGTCGGAAACGGCTCGATGGCACATAACAACAACAACAACAATATGCCAATCAACGTAAATGTTTAAATTTGTACCCTCCAAATAAACACCCAAAGCATGTTTCTGATAACCATTCAGTGTTACACAGACATCAAACACAACCTGAAAAGAACTTGCTCTCCTCCTACCAAAGACCCATCAAGTCAAATCCTTTGCTCTATTTCTCCTTATAGTGACCCTGCAGGACAAGAGACCTACCCTGTGGTTTCCAAGACTGTAATCCTGAGGGAAGCTGTCTAGCACACCTTTTCTTACCTAAAGCTGCTGGTGGGTTCAAACTGCCACCTGAGATTAGCAATCCAGCATTTAACCACTGCATCTCTAGGGCTGTAACTGACAAGTGTCTTCTATACAGGGATATGGAATAGAAGGGCACCTTCTACTCTCTAACCCCCAGGCTGAAAATCCTCTGGTCTTCTTTTTGCTCACCCTGTCATTCTCACCCTAGCGGGCAAAGTCCGAGTTTCCAAAAACAAGCACTGAGGTAACTAATGAGTTCAGTATCGATGCTGCAACGAGTAAGTCTAGTGTCACATGCCTTCAACCTGCAAAGCCGCCGGCCTACTTAACCTTTGCATCAACCACACTACACTATTCATCACTTCTGCGGTTCTCTGTAAGCTACTAGGACGTGTGGCATCGAGAACTTGTTAATAAGAGCAAGGAACTGGGTATAAGAGAGAACTATGAGAAAAGGTTCCAGGCCCGTCCCGGACCACTGACACTTCTACTTAGGACAAGTTCATTCGCTTAGCTTGCTGCGGGAAATGTCAATTCCTTGCAATGGAAAATAGACTGCAGAAGCGCGCATACGGAGGAGCACATGTCCTTCCCCGGACCAAAGCCCAGTATGGCCGCAGGTAAAGACCTGAATAAGCCAGCAGAACCTCAGGCTCAGTGAAGGCGATTCACGCCCTGTCAATGCCACAATGCACTCCCCGGCCAAGAGCAGGCAGGAGCTGGAGGGTCACCACCTTCATCAGGACATCTCCGGGCAGGCAAGGCCCGGCCTGCGGCCCCGAATTGAGCGGATCGCACACTCTCACCTGCGCCCCGCTCTAGGGACCTAGCCCTCCTGGGCCACGCGCAGCCGGCCTCCGGGAGTCCGCCCGGATCGTGCACGCGCCGCGATCAATGCTCGGCTCCGGACCTCTCAGGGCGCAGGCTGGGCCTCGGGGCTAGCAGGCCACTGCGGCCTAGAGTTCGATCCCGGGGTCTACGGCGGAGGAAAGGACGGCCATAGAGGAGGTGACAGGCCGCAAGGTAGGCCCGACACGCGCCAGACGGCGGCGAGCACGACGTCAGCGAGGCTGGCGGGGGCGTGGCCGGAGAAGGGCGGTCCCGCACGTCGCCCCGCCTTCTCGGCAGCCCCGCGATGGCCGAGGCAGCCGACCAGTTCAGACAGCCGACCCTCGGCCCCTCCATTTTTCCCACCCTATAGTAATTGATCTGCGATTTAACCTCCGACTTCAAAGCACGGGATTAACAGAAATGGGAGGAGCCTGCGGGACGGGAAGGCAGTACGCATGCGCACGACGCAAAGCGCACACCGGAAGGACGCCTGCGCGGCATCCGGGAAGGCGGGGGTGGCCACGCTGGAGGTCGCCATGGCTACCGAGCCGGTGGCCGCCTCGCCTTCAGTACCGTCGCTCGTGGACCGCTACTTCACTCGCTGGTACAAGGCGGGTGAGTGAGGAGGCCTGGCTGCTGATGTCGGACTTTGCTGGGTCTCATTAGCCCGATGGCACTCCTGTGTCTTCATAGAACCTAGGCGCGCTCTTCTCGGTGCTTCTTCCACGTCGGAATGCCTTAGACCACTTTAGGAGGGAGATGGCATTTTGCAAAGGCGACAAATGTTGCAGGGGACAGTCTGAGACTGTTGTGTGCAGTGTGGATTCAAGGCTGCTTTGCTTGTGTGCCTGTATGAGATCCTCGAGTTAGCAGGGGCAACATTACAGCAGTCTTGAGTATGCGAGCATTGGGTCTCAGTTCTTTTTCCTACCTTAATCATCTAAAAGACTTAAGTGATCATCATATCCTGGTAACTTAAGGTAGAGGCAGTAGAGATGGAAAGAAGAGGATGTGGTAAAGGTATTTAGAAAGCTGACTTGGTTTATTTAAGAAGCCTGATGTTACTATTTCTTGTACCAGTGGCAATATTTGGTGCCATCGAGAGGACCGACTTGTACATAGCTGACACTCCAGCAGATTTTGGGAGGCCATAAGTCACACAGGAGGAGTCTGTCTAACCTTCTCCCGTGAAGCTTTTGTTGGATTCAAACCGGTATATGTGCGTTCTTTGAATTAGCAGCCAACACCCTAAGGGCTGTTACCCCTTCTCCCTCCTGATGGTACAGGACTTGACTTGTTGGGAGGACGTGAGGCATGGGCAGTCTCCTAAGATTTACATCCTCAGACACCCAATGGAGGGTCGCTTTGCATAGAAATTGACTTGATGCCAACAGTGTGTTTGATGTGGTTCAGTCAGTGTGCTGGTGTGTGCATTTAAGTCGTGATAAAGCATGCTAGAGAAAGGAATTAATCACTTTAACTGAGTAAATGCTTGAGTCTGGGTCAAATCATTTGAGGTAATTTATTGGAAAACTCTGAGTCTTTAAGTAATGAAGAGACACCAGTGATTAGTATTTGTTCAGTCTTTATAATTATTGTGGCTCTGTGAACCAGAGAAGCCTCCTGCTGACTGCATCCATCAGCAGTCAGGTATTGAAAAATGTTGTAATTTTAATTGAAAACTTGTTTATGCTCCCAGATGTCAAAGGGAAACCCTGTGAAGACCACTGTATACTACAGCACTCTAACAGGTAAGCAGATTGGGAACTTAAAATGGTCACAATCTTAGTATTAGTTTTTCTTTTTCCTGCTTATGTTCTTCGATTAAACATGTGCCAATTAAATTACTACCTTTCACTGTCTTGAAATAATATTCTTAAACCACTGGCATGATTTAGTCTGTGCTGCCTAGTGAGTCTATCTAAAGAAATAAACCTAACTGATTACCCAAACATCCAAATGGAGGACCGTACCTTCACTCAGCTACTCCTAGAAATAGCTAGATTGTGTCTAACCCCTGAATTAGCAGAGCTCAGAAGAAGCCTGGGGTAATAATATCCTGTACATACAGACATGCTCGGCTTCTCTCTTTGCTATACCAGTGTTGCCGAAAGGCCTCTGGGACTCTTGTCTTAGGAAGGAAATTCAATCTTGTTCTCTCCTCTTTTGTCAATGCATTGCTTATTTTCTTGGACAGTTGGGTCCCAAGAGTAGCCAAAGGAGAATAAGGGGAAATAACAGGTTGACTAAATAAATGGAGATATTCCTACTCAAGTATAAATACTCTGTTGCAAGAGAACAAACTATACCCAATGATATAGGATCCATTTTTGCTTCTTGTAGAATATGTGTCATCACACTGGCAGGATCTCATCCAGTTCTTCAACGTGGAAAAACGATTGAAAGCATTTCCTATCAGATTAGTACCAACTGTAGCAGACTTCAGAACAAGGTCTCTGGGAAATTTAAACGGGTATGTCCTATAATTTTGTAATTATGTAGTTAAAATATCTATTGTCATGGTCATGATAGAGCAGGACATTCTTGGAAACTGGTAGTATATACTCAGTATCCTTTCTGGTAGCTTGAGGTATTCCTTTTAAGTAAACTTTTATCCTAAAGAAATGATGTCTTTTAGGAGATATTAGGGTCAGTAGCCCCATCTTTATTATCTTCACCAGGAAGGAGGGCATGTGAAAGGACAACTCTGATATCAATGTAAGAAAATATTTTTGGGGAAAAAAAAGATTTTGGTCCTGCTAGTTTTTGTCTGTTTTTTATTAAACCAGTACTTCAAGTTCTGTAAAATTAACATATCATTAATTACCCTTTATTTTTAACATAAAAATCACAGTAGTGTAGTGAAAAAATGAAAGTCTGAGGAAATAAATTTTGTTCCTTGCCATTTTTCCATTCCTAGGTAATTTCCAAGCTAATACACTCTTGCTAAAGGCTTCCACAGAATGTTGTGTACAAAATGTTATCTTTACTTTCTACTATGGTAGGCACAATGGATACATTTTATTAAAAGAGGATATTATATAAAGGAAATTTTAGTAACATATAATAGACTCTTAAATCCACTGGTTGGCAGAGTTTCTGTGGATGCCCACATCATTCCTTTATAGATTTCATACTAAAAATTTGTGCTAATTAAGCTCACTTAAGTTAGGATTAAATCACTCTTTTTGGATACCTTTATTCTTATTTGCCATGGAGGCTTAGAAACCAACACCAAACTTGACAGCAGCCGATTCCAATTCATGGTGACTCCCTGTCAAGCTGTATATTTCAATGGGAGCAGACGATTAATCTTTCTCCAGGGAAACTGGGAGCTTTGTTTTGTTTCGTTTTCCTAGCAGACCATGGTATATTCAATACTCATCTCCAGCACCACAGCTCAAAGATATCAGTTCTTCTGTCATCCCTAGCCACTGTCCAGCTTTCCTATGCATAGCAAGTGATTTAGTTCACAGTCCTACATGAAACACAGAATGCCATGAGGGCACCTTTGGTAGATCTTATATCCCCTATTAATTATAAGTAATTTGTCTTCTCACAGGAAACAAAGGGGCATACACTTTTCTTAAATTGTCCAGATTACAATATAAGTTTAAAAAACCTCAGAACTCAAAGTTAGTACCATTGAGTTGGAACCGACTGAAGCTGACCCTTCAGTGGGTTTTTGGGAAGCTGTAAATTGCACAGAAGAAACTGCCCATCTTTCTCATGGAACAGAAACTTTGGGCTAACAACACAACTCCCTGTAGACTGTGCTACAGCAAAATTCCTGTGAGATCTGTCTAAAACAGTAATTCTGTTTTACTCCTAAAGAACAGAGAGGAACCTCTGTAGTAAACCAATAGCAGAGATGTTAATTTTTTATTTTCATCAGTGCCAAGAATTTATTCTCTCAGAAGGTGACAAAAGGGACCAAAGTACATCAGCTTTGATACAGGCCAGCTGTAGATACACCATCTGAGACCGTCCCCTCCAGTGCCTCCCAAAAGAAGGGAGCACTGCACATTAGTATTTTGAAATGAAGCTGGCAGAAGAATGAAGCTAATGCGATTCAGGGGAAAAGAGTGTGATGAGTGACCGCTGTAGCAGGTTCCCAGGAACATCCCCACATAAACATTCGAATAGTGAGATGCAGGAAATGGTGGTCATGCCATAGCACTTGCAGAGAAAGAGGCCTGAACGTAGTCTTTTCTCCTTGTTAAAGGGAGCCGGCTAAATATTTTTATTTTTTTTAAACACCCAGATCTCTTTGGGGAGGCACCACCCTGCCTGTTCTTTGGCGCCGCTTCTGGAATCCTGCGGCCTCATTCCTCTGGCAGCTCTTCTGGGCTGGAGAAGGGTTCGATGTTCAGGGCCTCAAACATGCCATCCACCCGGAAGGCTGGCCCCGTGGTGGCCAGGTCTGGGGTCTCGCTGTCTGACTGGTGAAGCCACTTGGCCAGTGTCATGGCGTCCTCCAGGAGCTGGTGGTCCTTGTACAGACGTTGGTCTTCAGGTGACTGTTTAAGAATGCCCTCAACAATGAGCTTCAGCTCGAACACGGTGCTCGACTCCTTGGCGTCAATGAAGAAGGTGGTCTTGTGGCGGCGAATCTTCAGAAACATGTCCATTACTGTGGCTCCTCCACCTTTGACCCACCAGCACTCTGCCCCGTTCCCAGAATCCTGCTCCCCCCCCTTATTTCTGTTTTAATACTTAACATTTTCCTGTTTTCTCCAAATGTTTTTCAAAGTACATTTTGTTTTAAATCAGAAAATCATATCATTGCTTCAGCTAGTAAATTCTTTTATAAAAAAAAAGGCAGGAATCTTAAACTAACTTTGTATATTACTGCATTCCTCTGTCCAATTATGGGAGGCTGGGCTGTATGAGAAGTGTGGCATCAGAATTAGAGAAAGATTCATCAACAGTCTGCGTTATGCAGATGACACAAACCTGCTTGCTGAAACTGAGGACGTGAAGCACTTTCTGCACAAGGTCAAAGACTGCAGCCTTTAATGTGGATTGAGGCTCAATATCAAGAACAAAGATTCTCACCACTGAGCCAATTGGCAGCATCAGGATGGATGGTGAAGAGATTGAGACTGTTAATAGCTTTAGTTTGCTTGGCTCCACAGTCAACACTCTTGGCACCAGCAGCCAAGAACTCAAACGACGTATTGTGATGAGAAAGTCTGCTGTTAGAGACCTCTCCAAAGTATTGAAGAGCAATGATGTCACTCCGGAGACTAAGGTGCACCTGATACAGGCCATGGTCTTTGCAATCACTTACAATGCATCAGGGATGATAGAAGGAAAATTGATGTCTTTGAGCTGTGGTGTTGGAGAAGAGTATTGAATATGCCATGGACTATTAAGAAAATGAACAGGTTCGTCCAAGAGAGGGTTAAACCAGGCTGCTCCTTGGAGGCATACTTTGGAAATTTTGCAAGGAGAGACCAATCCTTGGAGAAGGACGTCATGCTTGCTTGGGAGGGTGGAGGGAGAGTGCAGCAGAGGAAGACTCTCTATGAGGTGGATTGATTCAGTGAAGAGTGGTCTGGGTAGGTGTGTTGGAGATGGTGAGATTTGGCACAAGACAGTTTAGGGCTGTTATACATAAGGTCACTATGAGTTGCAGGTGACTGGACAGAAGATAACAAGAATTTTCCTAATTTTTCGATCTTTACACCTGGTTATATGTAGCTTTCTCATTTACACTTGATAAAATACGTTCTTTAACTGTTCTAGACAGTTGATTATTCTGTGAGGGTAGCAGTAAGTCTTAAGCCTATGCTGTTTTTTTCCCTAGAGCCTAGGATATCTCGGTGCACATTGCAGGTGTCCATTATATAAATGAGTGGTTTTTAGGCAGATAAATTTTATTTGAAACACCAATAATAGGAATGTTAGGTACTATAATAAGTCTGAGGACTCCTTCTCAAAGGAGACTAAAAATGTACATGAATTAATTCCTCCTTTCCTTTTATTACCTAGGGAGCACAGTTTCTAACAGAACTTGCACCTTTGTGTAAAATTTATTGTTCAGATGGAGATGAATACACCATATCTAGGTAAGTTACTTTCTAACTACACTTTAAAAGGAAAAAAAGAGGTGCTGCTTTTATTAAAAAAAGAAAAAAATCTTTTCTATGTTTTTAATTAGCTGTGTTAGAGGACGGTTGATGGAAGTAAACGAAAACATTCTCCATAAGCCATCCATTCTTCAAGAGAAGGTAAAAAAGAAGAAAGTGAGCAGATTGAGGGGTGGGGTAGGCTGGAGAGTACAATTCCACCCATACATTTTATAAGATTTTTAATCATCTGGTAAAGCTGAATATTCTTTTTTTCCCCCCAGCCATCTACTGAAGGCTACATTGCAGTTGTGTTACCCAAATTTGAAGAAAGTAAAAGCATAACAGAAGGGTTACTGACAGAACAACAATATGAAGAAGTGGTGGTGAAACGTATTAACACGACAACATTACATCCTGAAAACTGAGCTGAAGTAAATAGCAGCACCAAGTATTATTGTTCCCTGTGTGATCTGACCGTCTGGGCAGTAAAGGAGAAGAGCAAGTATGCAGCCTCCTCTTAACATCCAGCCTACAGGAGAGGGGAGGCCTAAGCCGTCACTTACCTGGGTTTCCTTCTCCACCATTTGTAGCAAACCTTGGTTTCCTTGTTTCCTGCTTCCCAGATCTACCCTGTCCAGGTATTCTGTTCCTCTTACTTCTCTTTCTAACAATTGATATCAAGGGGTGCTTCTCTGATTATACCTTTTAAAATGCACTTTGAGGAAAATTTCAAAAACAAATTTTAAGTAGCAAAGTAAAAATTATTTACCTTTCATCTTAGAGCCCAAAAGTAAATACTACATTTATATATTATATATATATTTTCTTTGACTGTTACAGCATGGCTATTATTATTGCCTTTCAGTTTAAGGTTTTAAGAAACAAAAACCTACTAGCCTTCAAGTCCAGCATATTATCAGTATGGCACCACCAAAAATATCTAACCCGTCCCACAAGGGACAGTGCCTTTTGCCTCCCAGGCTCTCCTCAGGTGTAGAGGAGAGGTACTGGGATGGCCTTCCTCTCTGATATAGTAGGCGATAATGCTATGACTTCATAAGAGACATATACCAAGGGCTTCCCTAACATGGAAGAAGCATAATTCAGTAAGCTGATTATTGCAGTACAAACTCTGTAGCAGCTCACTCTGTTATGGGATAACCAACAACAAAGTTACTGAGTATTTGCAGTTTAAAGGAACAGATGTCTTTGAACAAAATAAAGGCTTTCATAGCACTTAATTAAGAGGACACAACAAAACTGAAAAGAATTTAAAAAAAAGAAAAACACAGCCAAACCCACCAGATTTACTCAGGCTGGGTACTTACATAAATTTTTTTTTTTAAAAAAATGACTTTATAAAAAATGTTAAGTGTTTTCCTTAAGGGCTATAACGCATATGTTTAAATAGGCCTGTTTTGAAATAAACTATATAATTTATTACAGAAATCAGCTGTTAGGTAAATACTTCTTAGTTCTCTACCTTCTTATGCTATTAAGGTTATCCCTACCTTACCACCATTTGCATTTTTTTCATAAGACAGTGTACCCCTTTCAAGTATGTAAAAGTATTTTGTAAATAAAAATAATTTTTGATTCCCAAAATAAACCTTATTCTAACTTGATTGCTAGCTAGTGTGTCTATCCTAAACACACCCACAGAATGAGAGATGGGGAGTAACCAAAAACACCTATATTGATGGTACAGAATTGAACAGCACAAACCAGAACATCTTCACTGCTAGCAGCATAAACAATGATTACTGATGACTATTCACAGGACCCGGTTTAACCCTCTCCAGGACAAATCTGTTTGTTTTCCTAGCAGTCCATGGTATTCTCAGTACTCTTCTCCAGCACCACAGCTCAAAGGCATCAGTTCTCCTTCTATCCTCCTTGGTCATTGTCCAACTCTCTGATGCATAACAGGTGATTGCAAAGACTATGGCCTGTATCAGACGCACCTTAGTCTCCAGAGAGACACCACTGCTCTTCAGCCCTTTGGACATGTAGTAAGGAGAGACCGGTCCTTGGAGAGGGACATCATGCTTGGGAGGGTGGAGGGACGGTGCAGGAGAGGAAGGCCCTCTATGAGGTGGATTGATTCAGTGACTGGGATAATTAGGATGGGAGTGTCAGAGACAGTGCAATTGGCACAGGACAGAGCGGAGTTTAGGGCTGTTGTACATAGGGTTGCTATGAGTCACAGGCGACTCAACGGCACATAACAACAACATTCACAGGACAAAGATAGGAAGGTGCTGAAAAAAATCATCTATTTTACATAGAACACTGCCTCATATCCCACCATTTTTATAATTTAAAATACTTTTATTTCAGGGTCTAAAATTATTCTTAATGATTTTGACTGCTTAAAAAGCACTTTATAAAGGCTGTTAGCAGCTGAGTGCATGGTAAGTGCAGATGAAGGACTTAGGAGTTTTTAGGTCATTTCTTCCTATGCCTCTAAGGTGAATTCATTAGTTAGAACCAGCTAGAGACACTTTTCCACTGTTCAAAGGGAAAAGAACCATCATAAAAGTTTGGGAGTTGGTCAAATAGTGGCTGGTAATTGGTGGTACTGTGGTTCTGTAGGCTCTTTTGTTCATATTGATAATAGTGGCTGATCCAGACAGGGAGCATCAGACAAGGTTACATTACTCTCTTAATGCTATTTGGCAGCTGAAATGTACCAAAAGAAAGAGACTTCAGAACACTGGACTATGAGCCCCATGATGCGGGTCCAAAACAAAGTTTGCTATATCACAAGAAGAGAATATGAGAACCAGATCTTTTTAATCAAAATACTATTTTGTAATAAAAAAAGCTATAAGCCCTAAGTAAAAAGGCTAAGTAACATGTTTATTTTATAATGAGCATTCCAAACAAAACCACTTCTATAAAATATGATTCAGAATTTATTTTTACAGCTGCTTAGTTCGACTATTCTCAGTCTTTTACATGATCCACTATCAAGCACAACTGAGAGAGGAAAGTTCAGAAACTGTTTTTAAGTCAGCACAATGGCTTAGAATTCCAGCACACAGAAGCCAGAGATGCTGGGCCTAGAGTTAAGATGGCCATCTTCTCGTGAGTCCCTCCAGGGAGCACCAAGACCCTGCTTTCGGGAGTGGGGAGCGACACAAGTAGCATTTACAGACAACTCATCACGTGAGACACACCTGCTAAGGAGCATGGCGAGTGCTGGCATGGATAATCTCAGGCAAAAGGGGCAGCTGAGACCTGTAACACACTTGCTGGACAGAGGGACTAAGCCAAAAGACCTAAAGAAACCCTGCATTCACCCAGACTATTGCCTGTCTATTGAAAATTAGTGTTCTAGAGGATGAACAGGTAAGGTTAACTATGCCAAAGGGGAGCATATTTTAAAAGGCTTCTTTGGATTGAACTGCCATTAAGACATTTGTAATATTTGGTTTGACTTTTTAAAGAACATTCGTTACAATATTTCATTTTAAAATCACACTGCAGTTACAATTCTAGCAACTACAAGGGGCACATATTAGTTGTCCAAGAACTTCACAAACCCTTTCATGATAAGAAAATAAAGCAAGACTTCAATACTTTCTTAATAAAGTTGTTGAAATTCTTAAAATATAAAGGAGCATTTGCTTTCTAAAAATACAATTTGTTGTATGATGTTCCAAAGACAGATTCCCCAAATCTCAACTTCTGCCATCCATGGGGTCTTTATTAGTAACTGAGACCCATCTGCTTTCCACCTGGAGTTGGAAAGAGTTAATTAGTTTCTATTTTACTTGTACTTAGTAACTACTATTTTAAGCCAATATTTAAAAATAAGTTTAAAAGAGAAAAGCTGTCTCACCTTCTTCAGTTTATAGCACAGTGAGAGAAGCTGGATCAAGATGGCCATCATGGATCTTGCCTTTGTTACACATTTGTCAACCTACAGTGTCAGAAAGTACACAAATCAAGTTCTAAAGTGGTACTTTAAAAAAATATATAGATAGCTTAAAAATGACATTTTTCCACTGTGGAAACGGCTCCAAAGTCTCAAAAGCTGACACAAGAGTGTCCAAGTCATATGTCTGCTTTATGGAACCCTGGGAAGAGTGAGGAGAAAACCCAGCTTTCTGTTTCAGCCTTCAAAGAGTGGCACTGAATCCTCTACCTTACAGTAGTATACTATTTTGTGGAAACAAACCCAAATTCTCTTAAAGCAAATTTTAGGAGCCTTGACCATAAGGAGTTTTGGACCAAGTTAAACATGTGATAACTTGAGAAGGGCAGCAGTCCTGTGCTGTAACAAACATGGCCAATCAGTGAACTTGTCAGTACTATGGTCAAGCACAGTAGCATAATGATTCTTGCAGTCAAGGCATGAGAAATAGAAATTGTTACTCTGTGGATAGTATTACTTTATTGGGGGGGGGGGCGACCAAAAAATAAGTGCCTGGTACTAACATGGTAAAAAGAGAAGCGTCAGAGTTTCCCTAGTGTCTCCTTGGATCATCCACCCTTTTTTACCTTTAGAAACACTTTACTCGGCGATGGGGTCTTAGTTATTGTTTGCAGCTGGTGGCATAGAGGAATTAGCTTATTTATTTCCAGGAGAAGCATAAGCTTGTCGTCATCTTTCAACTGAAATGAAATTTAAGAACTTAGAACATGTTCAACCAAACTCAATCTTTCAGACCTTGTGTCCTGCCTTAAAAATAGGCCACCCAAGCAGTTAAACATGACGTCCCCAGCACCCCAGGCAGATGGCTATGCTCACCTGTTTTGAGAAAGCTTGCACACTTGAAGCAAGTTTTAAGCCCTCTGTGGCAAAAGCCTGGTAGAAAGGAAAAAACATCACTGTATCTCAAAGGTGGAAACATTAATAATTTTTATATAGAATTGAAAAACCTATTTTAACAAGCCTGTTAGAGAACTGCTAAACTTTCTGTCATAACCAACACAATGCAAGAATGTAACTGCATTCAGAAGGTTTTTACAAACCTGATGCAAAATGAATCCCAGGAAAGGGTCCTCTGATGTAGAGGCCTTCAACTGCCCTGGAGGAGCACACAGACTTACATCCTTAGCCAAACAAATTAAACCTGAGAACCCAGCAGGCTCACCTCCTAATACCCTCCAAAACTCACACATGTCCAGTCTGATGAATCGACTTAGAGCTGACCCCAGTGGGGTTTAATGAGCTGTAAACTGTACAGGAGGGGATTAACCATCTTGAAGAGCCACTGGTGAACTCAGACCACCAGAGAGGCGCCACCTTCAGGCTAGCAGAACAACTCCCTAAAGGCTACTACAGAGTCCTATTAGAAAGAGCTAGTAAAACTTAGAGCATGAGGTCCAAAGAGTGAGAAGTTTCCTGCTTCCAACTAAGCCAAATAAAACCTGCCACCTATCCACATTTCTTAACTATCCATTTTGAGTGAATCAATTCATACTGGTTTTCTATTATTCACTGTTAACACGTTGGGTGTCATCAAGTTAAGTATGACTTGTAGTGAGCCTATGAACAACAGATCTGAGCTCTATCCTGTATTGTGCCATCCTCATCATCTCTGACACACTTGACCCCATTGCTACAGTCAGTGTCAATCTATCAATGAAGGTCTCCCTTTCACTAAACCTCCACCTTTTCAAGCAGGAAGCCTCTTTCCAAGGAACAGTCCCTCCTAACAACATGCCCAAAGTATGTGAGCTGAAGCTTTACTATGCTCGCCTCTAAGGAGCACTCTGGCTAATTAACTTGTGAGAATAGTATATGATGGGGGGTAACTGAAAAATAAGGCTACACAGATAAAAGGAATAATTTAAAAGATTTTTTTGGTGTGAGAGATACCAGATGTTATGAACTGAATCATGGCTCTCTGAAGATATAACCCCAGTAACACATGAATATGATTTGTTGACAACCAGCAAAAAGTTCCCACAAATAGATGAAAATATTCTATAAACAGATACATATTTTATATTTTCCTACCTCCAGCTGATGAAGTAAATCTTGGGATGTTTTCAGTGGCCCTTCTCCTCTGAAGTAAAATTATTAAGGAAAATTATTGCTTGGAAATTAACTTTCTAATATATAATCTCAGAGCATTTTATGTATTAAAAGATCCAGAATTTTGAGGAATAATATTTAGCAGATTAATCATATTGGATAGGATTTTCTTTTTAAAGCAACTCCTTATATAGTATTTTTTTCAGTTCAAGTAAACAAATGTAAATTTTATAATACAAAGAAATTTTCAAACTGGTGACTTATGCCTAAGTTTTACTTGGCCTTTTTACTTTTTAACCTTTTCATTATGTTTCATAAATATATGCGTTTGTAGCATACATTACTCAAAAGGCCTTTGCTTTTTTTTTTTTTAATCTTTGTTATATAGTGGAAAGATGATCAATCAAAAGCCAGTAAATGCTCATTTCTAATTTTGAAACAAGTCCTGGTGTTACATCAGTTCAGTGCTCAGTTCCCAATCTAAAGGTCAGCAGTTCAAACCCAACAGCCATTCCACAGGAAGATGTGGCTCATAGTCTGCATCTATAAAGACCTACAGCCTTGCGAGCACTACTGGCAGTTCTATTCTGGCCCATCATGCTTCTGGGAGTCTAAACCGACTCACCTGTGCACAATAACAATCTGATTCTACTACCACCTCTGGTCAGAACTCAGACAACTAGCTTTGATGGGGCATGTCATTTACGCTTCAATTGGAGCTCTAAAAAGAATTATATTTGTGCTATCACTCTCATCAGAACGCTGGTTAATTATCATACTGAAAATTACTAAAAAGAAGTAAGAACTCTGTGTAAGAAAAGTAAATTACAGGGGAGCTCTGGTGGCCTAGTGGCAAGAAGCTGCAACTACAATCCCAGAGGTACACGGTTCGAATCCACCAGATGCTCTGCCAGGGAAGGAGGGGCAATCTCCTCCAGTACCAGTCAGATCTGATTTGACGGTACACGCACACAAAAATAAGAAAAAAAAAAAAATTTTAAAAAAAACACATTAAAAAAAAAGAAAGAAAAGTAAATTACAATTGAGTCCCAGTTTCCAAATTTCTCACTTGCAAAACTCATGACTGCCCTTAAATGTGTGCCCTCACTTTGAAAGGACCGGTTAATTCCAGCAATTCATCATAATCACCTTCACTTGCTTTAAGTACAGTGTTTAAATCACTAAAAAGACTCTGGGCCTTCTCTATGTGCTTATGTTCTGACTTAACTCCAAGTTTGACATAAAGACTTACTTAGTTTTAAAGAAAAAGACTTACTTAGCTTTAAAGAAACACTTAGGAAGAGATCTTGTTGGTAACATAGGGTTTACCTGGACAGCATAAAGATCAAGAAAATTCATTAAGAAAAGAAAAAGGAAAAAACCCAAAACAACGGACTAGTCATGAATCAGAAGATCTGAAATTGAGTAGTAACAATAAATTCTTTTGAACATAATTTCTGCTTTCTTTTTCAAGAATTGTCTGAGGTAGAGTATCTCATGAGCCGGGAAAGTGGACCTTCTAAGGACTGTTTCTTCCCTGCTCTTCACCCTCCTATCTGAAATAATCTGCACTAGCATTTTATTAATTACAAATATGAATCTCTAGGCAAAAAAAGTGGGTTCTATTCAAGAACACAATTTACAGGAATGATCTTGCTGATGATGATCTTTTCAAAATCAGTATGAGGTAGAAGATGGGGCAGAAAGCTGGATGTGTATTTTCCAGGTTCCCCAAATTGAAAAAGGTAAAATTTCAGAAAATGATTAAACAATTTCAAGTCTGTCTTCGAGAATATCCTAGAAGAGAATACTGAGTAGATAACATAAATACTGAGCAGAGTGGAATTACTATACCATATATACTGACTCAGATTAATAGCCTCCAAGGAGATTCACTATGAAACCCAATGGAGGGTCACTGTGATTCAGATTCATCTTGAATAGGTTTTAGTCTTTGTTCTGGTTTATATATAGATTTCTCTGACAGAAGACTGGAATGTGATCAGCATTGATGTTTACTAGGAATTTCCTCCAGGGTCTTCCAGTATGAACAAGATGGAGGTAGAAAAATCACCTGCTGCATAATGAATGATGATTCATAGAGACTTGGCAGCTTGTTGAGGTCTCCCATGGTAGGTATTAGAGCTCTATTTTCTGATCTGTATGTAATGAACGACTTGCATAAAATTATATATGACATGTTTCCTGATTTCCACTGATATAAAGCTAAGAGAGGACACCTTCTAAATAGAAATTAAAATTGTCTTCCTGTTTTAATCACCTAATGGTAATCATTCATACCACTGGCCTTTAGATTAGTAATTTGGCACAAACAATCTGTACCACCACCACCACCATGATATATTTGATAGTTAACCTATCTCTCATTGAGATGGCACCAGATATTATTATGTTGACTTAAAAAGATCAAAATGTAATTCTATTTACCTAGTGAATAAATAGAGAGAATAGGCTATACGGGACATGTTCCGTCCATATCGAACAATCTCATTCTCCTGATCTTCCCATTTCTCAATTTCACAGTCCGCATCAGAAGTGAGCAAACCCAGTTTAAGTCCAAGCTTTGCTATCTTGGCTTGTTCCTATAAAGCATAAATGTTAAATTATAACTCTTTTGTCAATACTGACTAAAAAGTATTATTATATCTAAGAGTATTAGATATTCCAGATCTAAAGGGGGAAACTTACCTCAGAATCTGGTTTGTCTGTCTTTAATGACTTCAGGTTGACATTATTCTTCTGTGACAACACAAAAATGAAGTTATCCTTAAAAGCAGCACAGTTAATTATGAGGAATCATAATAATAATAGAAAGCATACCAAATTACCTGTAATAAATTAATTCAAACATTTAGTATATTTAAATAGTTTAAATTAAAGGTACTCTGGTGGGGTAGTCCATAGAGAGTTTTGTTGCTAACGCAAAGACCAAGCCCCTCTGGGGGTGGGGGTCAAATCCACCATCAGGTGCCAGGGAGAAAGGTGGGTGATCTCCTCCTACGGGATTTTCTGCCTTGGAAGGGTCAGCTCTATGAGTCCATTCTGAATAGCAGTGACTGAGTGAGTGAGCTGGGGAGTTTCAATTAAGTAACTAATTGTAATTCCTTTTCTATTTCTCTATATTTTATAAAATACTCTGTAATGTTACATTTCTACATATAGTTTAAGAATTTTATTTCCAACAGTTTTTTGTAAAATGTCCTTCTATTTTAAATCTTAAAATATTCTAAATATTCTTCCCTAATTATTTTATCAATTATACTGCCTCTTTTTTATAGCTGCAATAAAGTAATTGGTTTTATGACTTAAAACAAACAAACAAACAAACCACAAACCCTAATTGTAAACATCTCTATTAGTCTGTGAGTTTATCTGAGAATAAGTTGGCTTAAAACCTGGGGCCAGGAAAAAACAGACCAACATCTTGTCCTGCAGGTATACCCCTCTGTGTTTGCATTTCCTCTCTTCATTTCAGATGGGTCCCAAGGACATAAAGATTTCTTTTGTGGTATTTGTTATCATGTCCTCAAGCTTTCTGTTACAAGATTATAATGTTTGAGTAATTCTCAATAAATAACATAAAAAGAAAAAGTTAGCCCTCGTGTCATTTTCCACATTTCTCACTGTATTACTCTCTGATTCCATGTCTTTAGCCAGTATTCCTCTGGAAAGCTACATTTCATTGAAAGGATCCCTGTGGGCATGATGCTTAGGCTGCTGACTGAAAGGCTGGCATCCAGAACCTAGAGGAAAAAGGAATTGGCAATCTACTTTTATAAAGATTCTTGGAGCCCCTCCCTCTCAACCTGACACAGAAAACTCGTACCCACTGAGTCAGTTCCAACTCACACAGACCCTCCACCTGGGCTGCTGAGGCTGTAAATCTTAATGGAAAAGTCTGCTTGTCATTTTCCCTCAGCCTCTGATGGATTCCAACCACTCAAGACATGTAGCCTTTAGAATAACAGCACACGATGGTAGGGACAACACCAAATCTTAAGGGGCAGTTCTAATCTGTTCTGCCAGGTCACCACACATTGGGTCAACTTAGTGAGACACAAGTGTTATCATTGGCATCTCAGTTCCTAATCTTATGACACATAAATTCAGAATTTAATATATGAATCATAATGTTTGTATCTTTTTGAAAGAACAATTTTGTTTTTATGTAAGCTATATGGAGTTTAGAATATATTTCTCTCAGATAGCAGGCTGGTCCACCGAAGCCAGTATACTTGAAGAAAAAAAGTTTTTATTACAGACTCTACCACTGCCATTCCCAAAGCTGTTTTAAAACTACTTTCAGAAGTCCTCTTGGAAAGAGCAGTCCAGTTTGAGACGAGGACAGAGGCGGGAGGAAAGTCACCATCAGTGGGGCAGGAATTCCAGCCTGGATGGAGCTGGTGATGGCAAAGGAGCTCAAGAAATGCAGAGAACTTTTCCTTTTTGTTTTTTGGTTTGGTTTGGTTTAAAAAAAAAGAAAAAAACATGTACATAAGGTGTATGTGTACACATTAACACGAAGCATAAATCCACCCCATTACCTTTGAGTTGATTCTGGCTCCTAGTGACCCTTGGACCTGAGTACAACTGCCCCATGGGGTTTCCACGGTTCTCATCTTTCTGAAGGAGCCGTGCTGTCCCAGTGGCTAACGTCCTGGACTGCACTGTGCTGCTCACTAAAAGCTCAGTGATTTGACTCTAGCAGGAGGAAGATGTGGCAGTCTCTTTCTGGAAACGAGAAAGCTCTGTGGGGCAGTTCCGCATGCTCCTGCAGGTTGCTGCGTGTCTGAATCAATTTGACAGCAACAGGTTTTGGGATCCTCATAAAAAATCGATTGCCTTATGGAATATATTGTTCTCTAGCGGAGCAGCTAGTGGGTTAAAACACTTATCTTCTGATTAGCAGCCAAATGCAAAATTAAAATAAAAATAAAACACTCATTACATGCTAATTTAGCTTAGAAACACTTCATCAGCTTTGTACTGACATACATATCTCCATGTTCTGTTTCCTTTATTTTATATATATATTTATATTTATATAATTTATAAAAT